TTCATAATTACCAGTTTTTTCAGGTGCATCCCTTAAGAAGTCAACAAAGAATGCACTAAATTCAGGATCCAGCAAAGCTTTTGTTTCTTCAAATTCCTCTTCAATGAGTTTTGCCACTGCTGCGTCAAACCAGTTTACATCCTCCGAGGCTGTGAAACGATCAGCAATAACACGCTTGCATTCATGCTTCCACAGTTTTATCAGTATCTATACAAAAAAAAAAAAGGCATTTCAGTCAAATTAGGCTTGCAACACAGCTATGTCAATTTAAAAGCCATGCTTTTATTTATCTATTTTAAAATCACATTAACACTAGAAACAGTAGTATTTTGAGGTTTATTCAGGAGAGATATCTTGAGCTTCTCATTCTGCCCAACAGCATTTTAAGATTACATTCTGTTAACTGTGCAAGAAGCCTTAATCTGTCACTCCAAACCGGACCGTGTTTACCAAATTAAGATTTTATTTCCCTAGCCCTAAAATCATATCCATAACTGTTAACATGATTATGCACTGATAAACCACTTTTTTTAACTGTTCATTAAGTAGAATGTGGGTGGAAATAATAGCATCATGGCATGAATAATTCCATGCCAAAGACAGGTGTCACTCCTAATACTATATCCAAAGCAGTTAGAGGAGAAAAAAAATAAAAGTGTAAATGTTTATATTATTCCTTCTCCAAATTCAATATAACTTTAAAGTCCTTTGGTTTGGTCATAGGACAGAGAAGGAAAACCTGCCAGGTTCTTAATCCTAGCAGCACTAGTTTTAATCCTACAATATTACCACCCAGTAGTAGAAATAATTAAAAATAAAGAAATAAATAAAGTACTCCCTGAAGACCTCTTATTTGAGCCTACAGTACTCTGTACAAATGACACACACTATGTCAAGTCTCAGAACTACTAGGTAAATTTATACAATCAGATTTTGAGCAATTGTTTTTTATACTTCAAAATACAGCATTTGAGAATATATATACATATAATCACCTTAGTGCTGTATACTTTTAGCTTCAGAAATTTAAAAGAAATCTAAAATTTAAATTTTAGATGCAGTAGAATTCAGGAGCTTATTCAACAAGCAGGGAAGTATATTACACATGAAGTGATTATGTAATCCAAATGCATAACAAATTTTCCATTATTACCTTAAACATTGCTTTCCCAGCACTTGATGATTCAGTGCTCAAAACACTAAATTACTTTTCCTTAAAGTAATTAAAAGAGAAATGATGCATAAAGTATTGAGCTTTTCTGGAAGAAAGGTGGATTATGGTAAAAAAAATATCACTATGACTCCTTACCACTACTACTTATTAAGTTGTAAGCCAGATATCAGTTGTTAGGCAGATAGTAGGAAGTGACTGAAAGCCTCAAGACACTAGTGGAGGGAGGGGAACTGTCTATTTTTTTAATATATGTGCATTTTCATTTGGTTAAAATAAGTTCATTGCATCTCATAATTCTCTTTGCTCGGTTCTTTCAAGCAAACTAGCATTTGTCAGTAATAGAACAAGCAGGTAGAAGTCAATCTTCTGCCAAAAAAAGCGTTTTTGTTACAGTTCTCAAAGTTGTTATTTCAGTTGGCTCTGTAAAAGCTGGACTAAAACTTCTTTGCCTCAAAAAAACGTTGAAAAATTTTTTTAATCAGAAATTATATTTTTCTAAAGAAAGCTCAAATTCCAAGAAGTTAGACTCTTCGTCCTCTTTGCTACACTAATTACACACTAGTTATAACAAAGCCATTGATGTACTGCACTTAACTTTGGTTCGTTAATCACTTCCGATGTAGCGTTCAGCATTCCTTGCCAAATCCTTGAGAGGTCTCGAAGGTTGAAAACATAATGGAACTTGGCTGGCGTGGGCAACATTTTTAGCTTTGTGACCTGCCACAGCCTGCGTGTCAGTGGAACCAATTTGGCTACAGTTTTCTTTATATCTTCTGAAAATCCCCGCTCACTACAATAGTGCCCTTCTCCAATTACACCTGTGAAAAAAAAATGCCAGATGAAAGATTTTTTTAAGACATACTAGTGCAACACCAAGAGCTATGATGTTCTTAAGTTTTCTTTTTCTCTTTTTAATCCCCCAAACCCATTCTAATTTGTTGAAATGGCTTTCCAGTCTTTATTCAAATCTTGATTCACCTGGTCTTAATACAATTCTGCCACCAGCTCACTGGGTATTTAGCTCTTCATTAGCTGTCCATTAGAAATATCCTTTTGTCTACCAAAATGGCTTCCACAGCTTTGAATAGCTAATCTCTTCTGAGACCAATATGTTCCTGTCCTTCGTGAAAGTCAAGTCATTAGTCACTCATTCTTTGCACCAGTAGCACTTCAGCAACTCTCCAGCATTGTCACCAGAACTAGGAATGGTCTTCATGCCATTCTTCCTAACACTTAGCATACCAATAGATTCAGAGATGTGACTGGACCTGAAAAACTTACAGACTGATGAAGTTGCAGATGAGGGGTGATTACCGAAGGAAAACATTCTGGTAAGAAAATCGGAGGGGGATTAAACCTCAGTTTTAATCATACTGTTTATAAATAGAGGGATTAAGAAAAAACAACTACCATTTTCAAAAATAGGATGGATACAAAGCTAATTTCCCCTTACCAAAAATTTTGTCAATGGAAGAATTAGAAGGCAAAGTACAGTTGAAGACAGAAAATTGTCTCTTGAGCCTCTGTGGAATGTCATTGCGACCTCCCCCAGGATGGATCATGGCAGCCAAAAACTGAATGTCCACAATGTTGGTAAATTCACCAGGCTTTTCCAGGTTATACAGTCCATTCTGTTCCATCAGCTGCCTAACTATCTCATTGGTGACCTGTAAAATAACCAGGTATTATATAGCAGAATATTATACACACAACTAAATGACATACAAAACATACTTATGTGCTTGAAGAACCTAACAAATAGCATACCCTTATTTTCTCCCCAAACCCCTGCTTATTTGCTTCAGGAGAAAAATGCATTGATAGAAGTAAGCATATTTAGATTGTCCTTTTCATTGGTAATATCTATGGACAAAAATCCTGGGAGCAGAGGGCAATCCCTAGCTTAGAATTAATCCTTCATACTTCAGTTCGTTCTCACTTGAATGCTGCATGATTTCCAAGGCAGTTGTATTGGAAATACTTCTCTCATTTAACACAAAATTACTAGTTTGTTCTAATCAAGCACAGAATGATGCATCCTCACGTTGCATTTGCTCCCAAATATTTTGATGAAATTTTCACGTGTAGCAATCACAAACATGGTTTTTCAAGCTGCCAACATGGAAGATTCCTTTCCTTAGCCATAAATGGACCCCTTGCTTTTCTGTTTGACCAGCTGAAAACATCCCACAGGCAGTACTTATACAACTATACTTCTCTAGAAACACTAACATTCGTTTCCAAAGCAATATACTTCAGAACAATCCTGCCAATGTACATAATGATTACCTCCACTTCTTCCAAAGCAGAGAAGTCACTTCTTACCTCTCAGCATTCACAGTATTTTAATTATCCACACAGCCAGTCTTCTATCACAGTTTGTGTGCCAAAGGTTTTTGTCTAATTTTTAATTTCTTTAATTAAAAAATGAATGTTGATAAAAAACATTGCCCAAATTATACAAGCATGTTTTAAGGAGTACTTGAACTGATTTTTGTAGTCATTATATTTATTTTCAACTAATTCATGACCATAAAGCTAGATAGGTTCTTCAAAAAGACTGTTTAAAAATTAAGGATTGCATATCAAATTTACCCTACTGCCTGACTGAGAAGAGAAGCCAGTTTGACAGTATAGCAAGAAAAGAAACAAACCTGATCTCCCCATTCATTTATTAGGGGCATATTCACATCATCAATGAAGACCGTCATCTTTTTGCCTGCAGGCGGACCGTAAGTTGTACCCATGCGCTTCTCCACATAACTTTCTATTGTACGCTGTTAAAAAGCAATTTTTAGCATAATTAGAAAGAGCCCTTCCTTTCATACATGATTCAATCATTTAAACATATTAATGGGTTTGTTACACAGAATTTTGCTAAGGAAGGTTTAGACAACATATCTGTTCAAGGTAATTGCACTAGTTCAACTAGAACATCTAAAATCTCATGTTATACAGTGTTAGGTTGGTATCAGATACAACAAATGTCTAGTGTATACAACCATGCCTACCAGTTTCATAAATTTAAAGCAATTTCAAATATTTATTTCATTTTATTCATTTATCAGGAAAATTGATAGTTACTAGCAATAAAGATTCAACTTATAATCTGTCAGATCTGAAAGATGTGATTCTTGAAGACCTTTCCAGCAGACATCAATGTACTTCATAAACGCATACAGTGATAATTAAACTCAGATACATAGACTTGATGAAATAACTTCGCTTGAGAGTAGACTTACCATTACTTGTCTTCTTATCATTTTTCCATTGCTCCATTCTTCTTAAAGGTCAATTTTTATTTATTCTATACCAAATGAAAGCTCACTTAACCATGCATAGCCTTTTTTTTTAAGGCAAATCTAAATATCTGCATTCTTACATTGTGCCTAGGCTCCTGTACAGTAGCCTGGAAAGCCCTCTTACACAAGTGGCATCAGTTAGACCAAGATTTTAGAAAGAGTAAGTTAAAAGCACATGTGTTGTAACAGAAAATGCTTTGTTCTAGGTTGTTATCAGAGAGTTGATTGTCAGACTTGCACATCTATTTCAGATGTCTTGATCATCAACAGGCTATCATCTATCATCAATAAACTGGACATCTATTTTATAAGAACATATGCATCAACACTACTTTTTTTTTCTATAGCCCAGTCAATACAAGGAAAAAAAAGACCAAAAATGCATACTTGCATATTAAATGTGTTAATAGTTTCTACTATGCTATAGAACCAGACAATAGATGATGCATAGAGCTTATAGACAGCACTTCTGATTACAGCACAGTGTTTCAACTTGGCATACCAAACCTCATTAAATATATTTCCCATATATATTGTCAGTAGGTTAAAGAAACTTGAAATAATTTAAAGTAGCTCAGTAGAAATTTGGACAGGCAGTACAGTTCAGGATTTAAGTATGCATAGTTCTATTTAGAGCAGCTGCACTGCCTGTGTTACTTCTTTAATGAGCAATTTAATTTGCTGAAATTTAAATTGCAGACAGCACACTTTTCATGACAGATTGTTGAGGGTAGCACTTATTTTACTCGTGGCTTTTACTGAAATCTGAGGGAAGTCACTGACAGCTCTACCCAATTAGTGAGAACTGATACATTTGACATAAAAACATTAAATGTGATGAAGCAAATAATATGCATGCGGTGTAATAATCCAAGAACAGCCCAATAACTACCAAAGAAGTTGAAGGGAGCATAGTTTTTACAGAATTCTTTAAATCGTATGTTAGGATACTTAGTCCTTTTGAGCAGGTGATTTTTTTTCTGAGCTCATTTTCAGTTAGATAAACCACTTTCAGAAGCATCCTTCTGGCAAATTCTCAGAACAACCTCTGAATCCAGTCACGTTGTATTAGAAAGTGAATGACTACTATACCTGGAAAATTAATGGCGTAGTTGCAGATGAAAAATTCAAACTCTTAGCCATGTGGCTTTCAGGGTTATATTTTGACATAAAACCTTTGATGATAACAGTCTTTGCAGTTCCTTGCTCACCAATTAGTAAGACAGCCTAGACAAAGACAACATTGAAATAAGACAAAACACAAGTGTCTGAGTGTCTTGGCAAAGCCTCAGCAATCCCATTTAGCTTGTAAACTGAAATGAAACTGGAACAGTTATCTAAAGTGAAATCTCAAAATGAGACGTGTAGACACAAAATAGTTAATGTCTCAGACTTTTGCAGGCCTCGCATGTTAAAAATATTTGCCCTTAATGGTAATGTCAGTCAGCATGATTTAACTACAAAAGGAATGGATTATTCACAAAAGGGGTTGATTTTTTGAAAAACGATGTACTGTCTAGAGCCACAGTATCCGAAAGATTTCAACTGCTGTTTTCATTTACCACTTCCAGCTTATCTGACACAGTTTTGATGAAGAATGGGTTGCATAACATCAAGGTATATAAACTCTGTAACTGCCCTACATGAGTAGAGTTCATATCAGCAGAGCCTGGCACTCTGCTGCCCTGTGTGATGCACAATCTCCAAAAGCTACATGAAAAAATTGCTTCTGACCTGATCTCAGCTGTAATTATAGTTATTTCCACTACAGAAAGGATGCGTGAGGGGAAAACAAGAAAGTCTGCAAGCAGTGAGTATTCAAGACTTCAAGCATATTCATATGAATGTAGCTCCTGGAATCACCATTTTATATTTAAAAATATGAAGTTCTTCCTTTTTAATAATATAATATTTCACTTCCAATCCAAAAACTTTATCATGTGTACTGTTAGCACTATTTAGATGTGAAACATAGAAGAAGTACCTTGCCCTGTTTCGCAATGGTGTCAATAAGGAAATCCATTCTCACATTGTCAACATTAGGCACAAGAATGGAGCCATACTTTGGAGTGCTGCTACTGGGATATACATACTCTTCCACGCGTGTATTCCAGTGCATCCATTTACCTCATAAGAAAGAAATTAACTTAATATTTTAGAAATACAGGGCATCATCACTTTTTTTATTTTCCATTGACTCATCTGTAAGTGCCTTTGTCTCACATACAGTCATCCCGCTCTGTAAATTTGAACCAAAATTACAGAATCACATAATCATAGAATCTCTCAAGTTGGATTTAAGAGGCTTACTCCTCTTTCCTACATAAATTATGACAAGGACAAGGCTTGCCTATCTTTGTTCATTTGAAAATTCATCAGCACAAAGTCCACAAAGCTTTCTGTAGCAATACATCCACATACTGATTTCCCACAGGAAACAGGGAAAAAGCTTTATACAACATCACCAGTAAAGCATAGCTGTAAAACAAAACTTGCTAAGGAACACAAAAGAAGATAATCTACAAAAAATTTCTGAATTAATTCTCCAAAAGAAGCACAATTTATAAATTACTTTTAAGTTTTACCCTTACCACCCAGCTGCATTACTAACCGTCAGATGCCACATAATAATCGAACACAGTATCTTCACTGCCTTCTGGGATACAGGGAAGATCAAGTTTTATTGTTGCATGGTTTCGAAGCCAGTGCTCCATTCTGCATCTGTCTTCCAGTTCTAGTAACGCTCCTACACTCCACATAAGAGAGAAGATGTACAGCCTTTCCAAGTATTTTGGAGTCAATTCCCCTCCTTGCTCCTGAAGGATTGAGTTAGTTTTTATTTTCAATAGCCTGAAAATTCTACTTGATAATCATTAGTAGCATCTGGTTAAAAGCCTTCAGTCATATTCAGATTTACTGATGTCTTCATCAATGAACAGACTGAATCAATATCAAATAGAACACAAAACACAGAAAAGCACTCTATAAATATCACTTTTATTCACTCTTTACAGCATTTGCTCTGTTTAAATTCTAGTCTATAATCTGATACAATCCACCCAAAAACCCTGAAGGGAAACTGTTGTCTGATGCATGCTACATGTCAGTGCTCAACATCAAAATCCAAACATGAAAAAGGGCACACGCCAGCTATTATTTTCTAAAGGAAAAGAAGGTATTCCTTACTAATCTACATCTTCATTTATATTTCATGTCATCAGAGAATCTTCTCTCTACATAACCACATGACTTAAAATTATCTTCATTAGGTTAAGTAAATATAAAAAAGCCATGCTACCTTAGATGGGATAAGACCCTGCAGGATATTAATGCTCTGCATAATCACAAAGGCTTCCAACATCTCAGTCTTGCATTGCAGAGATTGAATACTGAAGCGATATAAATCTGGGAATGATGAAGAATACAGCTGACGGAGAATTTGAGCTTCTTGGAAGGAACGTCTTTTCAAAAATCCCTGTTACAAAGCATGGTGAGAAAAGTCTCAGTAAAGTCAGCTCCTGTAATTCAAAAGGTCCAGTGAGTATGGAAGATTGATGTCTTTTGGGGGGGCTCAGATTGCCTGCCTGTTGGGCAGCGTTTGGCTAGCAGAATGTCAAACTTTACCCACGTATGCATAATTTTCTGGATGTTAAACATGGATACAGAAGAAAAAAAGCACTTCAAAGTTTTCAACAGCACAAAAATCATTCTTTTCAAATATTTTTTTAAATACAATGGCTGTTTAAGGTATGCAATAACTCTGCAAAGAAAGAATATCATACGTACTGAACAAAAGTTTGATTTATTCTGCACTATGTTAGTTTCCAGCAGTGATACTGGGTATCCCAGAAACATCTGGCAGTTGCAGAAGAAAGGATAGGATTTCATGGGGTGATGTCTGCTGGTAGTGTTTTTGTTGTGCACCTCAGTATCTGTAATGCTGGATAAACAAAACCTAATTAAACCTATTTCTCAAGATCACAGAACAGGATTTGTTCTTTGATGCCCTTAGCTCAAAGTAATAACCTGCTTCTTTGAGTTACCCAGAAGCTTTCCCTCATCTGTGTGGCAGAATTCTTCTCATTTACATCCCATGAATTTATTTCCTATATAAAATACACTCATCAGCAAAAACATTTGCAGATTCTTCCTCAAAATTCAAACTAAAATTTGGCACAAATCAAATGTATTCAATTTTAAAAAACTTTGTTGTTGTGGTCGTGAGGGTGGTCAAACACTGGAACAGGCTTCTCAGGGAGCTTCTGGAGTCTCCATCTCAAAACTCAACAGGACACTGTCCTGAGCAACCTACTCCAGTTGACTCTCCTTTGAATGAGGTGTGTTCAACTACACAATCTGCAGAGGTCCCTTCCAGCCTCAACTCTTTTGTGCTTCTGTGATTCTTTTCTATACTGCTGTCTTTATAATCTTTTGAAACTTTATCTTCTACTGTTCAAAGTAAATAAACTCAGGAACTGATTACAAATAGGTAGATATATGAAAAAGCTTTCTATAAACAGGTAGGCGGAAAACAAAGCGATAAAGATTAAACAGCAGAAATACTTAAAATAGATATCCGAAACTTCACCAGCTGTTCTGAAAATATTAGGGGTTAAGTAGAAAATTTGATAAGATGCTTTTGCTTTGGAGGACGTTGATGAGTAATGGCTCAAATACCTTTGATCATTTTGCAAAAGCTGCATGAGAGGCTTGTTAGACAAGAACAGCAATACCAAAATTTTGAGTTCTGTTTCACTGAATTTGGAAATCACTAATGTCATGACATTGCACCCCAACAGGCTGCTATATTTAGTTGTTTATAAGTGGTAAGGATGGGAAATCTAAATATATACAACTTCCTGAGCTAAGCGTACCTGTTCCTAATTATTTTTCAAAGTTATTCTGAAATATCAACAAATACTATGTTTCATTCAGCATCTCAGAATTAGGAAATAAAGAAAGAAAACTCCATTTAATTCTATTGCAAAAGTAAAAAAATCCTCCAGTGAACAATGTGAGATTAACTTCTAACCTGATCTGCTGGAATATGTAGTACATCGCACCACAAAATAGATTTAAAGTGAGACGTACCAGAAGAGCCATGAAGACATTTCATTTATGCAGTAAAACAAAACCAAACAAAAAAGAAATAAATGCTATTGGCTCAAAATGATAAATAACTATAGGTTGCAATTTTATAGCCGATTTTTTGAGGAGAGGAATGGAGGTCAGAAGGGTTGTTTCACGGCTGAAATGAATGTAATTTTTTTTCTGTTATCCAAAAGCAAAAAACAAACTATGTTATTGTTTTCCTTTTGACTGTTGCTACCAAGGAAACAAATTAATAGCATAAGGTCATGGATTAAGTGAAACTACTTTCATGCAACGTTTACTTCAACACAACTAAACTTAGTCTGCATACCACTTTAAATTGCGGAGGTAAATCATGACTGATAAGGCAAAATAAAATGCTTTTCTTTGTTTTTGCTGTCTTTGCAGCTGAATCTATAGCTCAATTTAAACTGAAATGTTCAATAAGTTGTTGACTGCAAATTAACCAATGCAAGGAGGCAGAGCTGTGAGAATCTAACATCAGCAGGCCCTGTGCAGTGCTAGAAGTACAGAAAGGACCAACACTTGCGGAATCTCATGGGACCAACTGTACTAGATGCATAATTTACACTTCCACTTTCCCAATTATCCATATTAGTTTAAAAAAAAAAGAAAAGTAAAGCCTTGCAGGAATATACACAAGACATTTGTGTTGACTGCATATATTTGCATTAGTAAAACTTCATAAGTCAAATTTTTAGCAAACTTATTAAAGACTTTTTTTTTTGCACTAATAATGCAAACATTTTGGACTTGGCAAAGAAACCTACCAAATGAATTAGTGATGATTCTCAAGTGTTGCTAAGTAGCTGTGATTGAACAGCCAGTTCCATGTGACTTAGTATCATTCTAATAGGGAAAGGCTCTCGGCATTACTAGAGGAATATGGTAACAACCCTCTGTAGCAACCCTTAGTCCTTCACAAGCAGCAAACCTCCATGGGCAACAAGTCACAGCACATGGGTGCCTCCATCACAGGAGGGAGTCTCTGAGGACAATCACATTCCTTTTCCTCTTAGTTAGGAAGGCTGAGTTCTGATGCCTCCTCTAGTGGATCTTGTTGCTCCTCACCTATTCTCAGGTTATTATACCTGAACCTGCCATTACAGATCTGCAGGTGGAAAAGAAACCTTGCTTCTGTTGCCAGAAACCACAAGCTTACAGCCCTCTTCATCTTGGTAATTTCTGTTCACCAAAGCTTTGAATGCAGTCTCTCACCCACTCTCCTTTCCATTACAGGGCTAGGGACCTTGAGTCTGCAGTGTGCCTGCAAAGATCCTGCTGGTCTGCTTCTCTTCCCTGAATGCACACAGGTCTTCTCACCCCTTCCCACAGCTCCGTCACCTAATAATTCTGTGCCCAGGGCACACTTAGTCCAGCGGGCCTCCACTGTCTCCAGCCCCAGGAAGAGGTACCATCCACTACCTGCCACTCAGGGCTTAGATGAAGAGCTACTGGAGAGAGTCCAGCGGAGGGCTACGAGGACGGTGAGGGGACTGGAACATCTCTCCTACAAGGAGAGGCTGAGGGAGCTGGGCTTGTTCAGCCTGAAGAAGAGAAGGCTGAGAGGGGACCTAAAAAATGCTTACAAATATCTGAAGGGTGGGTGTCAGGAGGATGGGGCCAAGCTCTTTTCAGTGGTGCCCAGAGACAGGACAAGGGGCAATGGGCACAAACTGAAGAACAGGAAGTTCCAGCTGAACGTGAGGAAGAACTTCTTCCCTCTGAGGGTGACGGAGCACTGGAACAGGCTGCCCAGGGAGGTTGTGGAGTCTCCTTCTCTGGAGATATTCAAGACCCACCTGGACAAGGTCCACTGCGGCCTGCTGTAGGTGACTCAGCTTCGGCGGAAGGGTTGGACTAGATGACCCACAGAGGTCCCTTCCAGCCCCTAACATTCTGTGATTCTGTGATTCTGTAATCATTAAAAAAGGCTACCTCAACTACTAACATCTGAAATTAGTATGAAGTCAACTGTATTTTCATCTGGATAGTGAAGCAACACCGTCTACATGAGCATTAGTTGTATTTTCCATGGATATTCTATTTGATTTGGAAAATGAAATGAGTGAATGAGACTGAAACATTTATTTTAAAAAACTTATTAATTTGTTACTTTCTGGAAAGGAGGACAGTAAATTTCAGTCTCTCATCTCACAGTAATCTGTGAAGTTGTGTTCTTTTGAGTCTGCTGACAGGGGGGTTAAATATGCTACAAGGGCCTGGATGATGTTTTAATTTAACAAACAAAAAGATTAATTACTCCTAGCTTAAAATTAAAGTTTAAAGCCCACATAAAGTCGTGTTAATTTAGGATTATACAGAAGAAACATATATTAACTCAGTTTTCAAGAGAAGGTAATAAAGTAGTTCTCTCTATGATCATAGGAATCAGTGTCTTAGCCACAAGGAAAAACATTTTAATTTTTGATACTCATGAGGCAGTTCATGTTTCTTCAAAGCAAAATAACGTCCACAAAATATTCTCAGTAAGATTGACTAGACGAGAAAAAAAAAAAATTACTATTTCTTTTAATTCAAATTTATAAGAAGTGTTAATCCTGAGGAGCCTACTTCATAAAAAAATTCTTAAGAACTCTTTACCAAGATATGAAAAAAAGTGCTGTTCTTCCTTCCAAAATACACCTATAACCTGTTCTGTTTTTCTAAATTATTTATTCCATGCCACAGACAGAGCAATCACTGCTTGGTTCTTCAGACATTTTGCTTTTAGAAATGTTAACAGACTACTTAATCAGGTAAGAATATACATTTTAAAATTACATACTTTGGTGCTGCATTGACTTTATTTCCGATTCTAAATCCCAACTGCAATTAATTTTAAGACATATCAAGAGAACTTATATTTCCTTGGGGATTTCTAGATTCCTGAATTGGCCTGTTTACTCTTCTTCCTTGGTCTGAAGCTGTACTAGGGGCTGCCAGGCCGCTGGTATTTTGACAATCGAGTTGTTCTCCAATTCTATAATATACCTTGAACTACAAATTTTTCCCAAAGTGAAATACCTATGTTTTTAAAAGTGTAATATGTTGACTATGTTTCTGAAAAAATTACATTATTCACTTCTGTGTACACTACCAGAAACACCGCTGTATTAAATACTGACCTATAAATTTAGGCAGTGTAAAAGCTATTTCATAGCAAAAGTTACAAAATTAACTCCTAAAGTAACAACAGTGAAGTGTTGGGTTAGTAACCAGTAAAACTTTCAATACATAAACACTTAGCTATTGTACCTCAAGGATAGGGCTCCAGTTGAGAACTGATGAGCTCATGAATACCATCCCATTCCTTGAAACTGTTGCTGGGGAAGCATTATCAATATTATGAGGTTCAAAGACTATTTTGCAATTTGGCGCCATAGGTATCCGATCTCCATTTGCTAGCGTTAGAGTTCTGTTATCATCCAGGACAGAATTAAGGTTCTCAATCCAAATAGCATCAACTGGACCATCAAGAACTATCCAGATGTGGTCACCTATAATACAGAATAACAGATGAAAATGCCTATCGAGGAAGTTCTAGCTTCTTTCAAGGACCAGTTTCTTCTCTCTGCAAACAGATTTTGAACTATTTCTGAATTCATGCACACAGCTACAACATCAGCTTTTAATACCATTACCATTTCCATCACTCAATTTCAAGTACTTCATTTTGTCACCTAATAATAATTATCCATTGCTCAGTATATAGTGTCATCCGTTTGTAATAGTCTGAAACAGTTTTATGGATCCAGTCTTCAACACAATAATAAATTAGATATATTTCAACTTACACAAAACAACATAAAGAAGAAAGAAACTATAAATCTATTTAAAACCACCATTCATTTGTTTCCAAAGAGTTTGTGTAAATGCAGTGAGATTAAATGAACACTAGAAAAATCACTCTCTGAAACAGTATGCTCACTTTCATAAGTAAAAGAGGTCCATTAGGCAAAGATTGTTGTTGTTCGTTCTCCTGCTTGTAAACTTGATCCAGCTCCCTCTGACGTTTTTCCAGCTCTTTCCATTTAGTAACAGAAATGTATCTTAAAGCCTGCCTCTGCTTCCTAGGAGGGTCTGGGTCTGTGCTGCTCACCTCACTTGGGTACTGAGCAACAGGCCCTGACTGGAAAGCCCTTGGCTTCTGGCTCCCCATCCCTTAGGGAGTAGCCAGCCCGGCTGTGCATTAGTAGATAGCCCTTTAGTCAGAGATGATCCCACTCATCTGCCTTCAGAGTGAGCCCTTGATATCCAGGCCTAGGTGGCTTGGTGCATTGCTAGGTATGAACCAAGAAAGTTCCAGATGAGAAACTTTCTCGCCTCTGAGGGAAATAGTTTTATATTTAGAGGCTTTTCATAGCTGCAATGTAGGCATCTCAGGCATGAGATGGTCTGGAGTTTGCTTCATAAAGATACATTACAGAAGTGTTGCAAACAGAGAATCTCAGGAAGTCACGTGAGTGTGCTAATTTATATTTCATGTTGAGATGAAAAATAGAAAACACAACAGTTAATGACATTCTACTTGCTTAAGGGTGCTACATTTCTAGTTTTGAAAATAACCCAACAAAATTAAATCCAACAGTGTTTTCTATTTTAAAAGTATCTGTATCCTTAAAGACTAAGAATTTTTGCATGAAAATTCACAGTGCAGCAAACATCAGGATTTTCTTTTTTTTTTTCCCCTTTAGTTCTTAAGGCCTAATGATAAGTCACATACTAGTATTCAGACAAAACAAGGAAGAACCCATCTAGCATCAGACCATCCAGGCCTCTCTTTTAGTTAATACAGCAGTCTAAGAACATGTCAGCATTACTTCAGGCAGAAATTGGTTGCCTGAATAGAATTATCTAGTGCCATTTGAGATGGACAATGGTATGTGCAGGGCTAACAGGTATCACACCAGGGAGATTCACACCCTTCTAGTATGGCAGCTGGCGACCAGGCAGAAATCCTGACAGCACAAAAATTTTTATTGTCTACCAGTGTTGGGGGAACTGACTCTTACCTTCCACTTTTATTCCATATGAGGACCTATCATTTGAAAGAGAAGGATCAGCAAATTCAGTGAAACAATATTTGCTACACTACACAGCTTGAACACAAAGCCTTTAGAACAGAGACAATGCAATAGACAGAAGTTCTTGCAGCAATATTCCAATGCTTCCATGTAAGCAAAAAAAAAAAAAAGTCTGCTAGTGTGCTTTAGAGAGATGTCCTCCAGCTTGTTTTGTTTTTGAGGGAATTGTTTTTCATTATACCTTTCTTGGCTCTTAAAGTTTTTCTCCAGAGTGTTGAAAATATTCCATCTGTCCAATCATTTGTTGCCACATCGAGACGACCAAACATTTGTGGAGCCGTTATAGCTTTAGGATTCATTCTCATTTCACGATGTGGCTGTCCACAATCTATGAAGGCAGATCATCAGTTAGTTGTGGTCTTTCTTTTCAACAGTCAGAGAACTTTGACAAACTCAAAATCACTGCACCCAAATGTATGGTGCAATATATATTCACAACTACAAGAAATTGTGTATTTACTTGGAAAACATGTGTCTTGCTGTACATCAATATTTATTAATTGGAGCCATCAAAATCTAAAGTAGGACAAAGTTTTGAAATTTTTCAAAGTACAATTCACATTTCATAGATTCATTAGGAATAGAAGAGTAGCAGGGTGAAATTTATTCAAGGTTCGGTTTAACTTTTTGAAGGCTTCTCACAAAATACATTTTTTAAAACCCAACGACTAAATACCAGACAGATGGTCCACATGATCGATTGTTTTTGGTTCTCCCCATTGTGCACTTGCATACACCTTGGAATAGGCAAAGTATATGGTACTCTCATATCCCTGTGAAGCCTCTTAGGCAGCTAAATTCTATCTAGCCATATCATGATCCTAAAACCTTTTTATTTTCCTCATTAACAACAGCTTAAGAACTCCTGTGCCAGACATCTTTAGAAAATCCAGTATTAAAACTTAATCAGAAGCCAGTAACAAGATGTTGAAAGACAGAGCTAAAAAAATGGCTTATCTTAAAATCTTAATTATAGTAAGAGCTCCCTAGCATGTAAGATAGAAGCCTGGCAAATCACACAGTTATACATTTTGTGAGATTATGCCAGAAGATCAGTTTGAAAAAAGTATTGTGGTGTCTTTATCTTGGTAGTAGTTCACATCTTGGTGCTACAGAAATATAGGAAAACAGTATAATGCAACTACCTTGTTAGTTCTGCTTTTTTTTCCTAATTGGAACAGTGATTTACACTGCATTGTAGAGCTTACAGTGTTTCTTAAGCACACTAAGGTACTGCATGGATGAGACACCAGCTGAAACATTTTTTACAGAAACTATCCATTTCTGGAAGATTGTATAAGCAGCCTTCTGAAGCCTGTGAAATGGGGTAACGCAGACTTCCACAAAATAGATGCTTTTTCTGCCCCAGCTGAGATCTTTGAGTTTAATAAGAACAAACAGAAGTTCTTCCACTAATATTTTTGTTTAGAAAAACAGAGGACAAAAAACACACACTCCTCAAGCATCCAGCCAAGACACAAAATGAATACCCTTGAAGACTTTGTCACTGCCTAAACCATGAACGATCTCCTAGCAGCAACAAATTATAGAGGCAGTTATTTTATACTGCAGATAAAGACTTTATCTGGTGAACTGTGTTCAACAAGGACTAAATACTTGTGATTAGGAGGTGGTTTCACCATCATCTCAGCCAAAACTGGTAGATGCTTTAATCACTTGTCTGAGCTGTGTATGCAGACAGTAGTCCTCTTTCTCAATGTTTCTAGAATAAGAACTTCTGATATAGGTATAATAAAATAGGAAATAGGATATGTATAGTATGACTTTGAATGTCACACATTTTTAAGCTTTTAGAAGATACTACCAAAATAATTAGCATTACAACACATGAACTGATTCTTCCAGTAATATATTCTCACAGTGAAGTAATTGAGGCTTTCTATGAGGAAACAATGTAGTTTAAAGTTTGAAATAGACCATCTTAATAACAGTTTACAATATAAATACTCACATACCTGTCATGGCTTTCATTAAAGTGTGGATGCAAACAGTTTTTCCTGCACCACTAGGTCCTAGTGTCATCAATCCATGCCTTACTCTCTGGGTTTCAAAAAGTTGGATAACTTTCAGTTTCCAAGGAGGATGACAGACAAGTCCAGATTCCTCCACCTACAGGTAGTGAAAGAAAACCAAATGACAAATATTTTCGTGCACAAGATTTTTTGATGTTTTTTAAAAAAAAATATTTCTATCTTCGGCACAAGACTACACTCTTTGTAAAGATTTTGTGTATATAAAAAACTGTTCAGAAAAAAGAAGGGATATTTGGTACTCAAATATGTATTCAGAAACAGAAAAGAAGATAAATCATTTTTCTTAGCTCTTCTTAGATTTAAAACATCATTTTAAAGAAAAGCCAAGAATTTTAGAAATATGCTTGCTAGCAATATCTTTCATAGTGACACAGCGTTTTCACTTGTTTCTCAGAACTGTTGCCTTTTTGTGATGATGATGCTTACAATAGACAAAAGTTTTTCTGTAAAACATTTTGTTAAATACTTCTCAGTTTACAGACAGACCTTTGAGTAACTTCTTAATATCGTCCTTCTAAGAGAAGGCAAGATGTTTTAGAATCAAATATCATGTGCTTGTTTGCTAATTTTTACTAGTTCCAAACTTTTTAAAAGTTATCTCACTATAATCGTATTGTTGTTCCTTGTAAAACTGACTCATCTGGAAGCGAACAAGAAAGGTTTTAGCTAGTAGAGAAAAGCCAGAATTATTTCTTAAGTATTCATAGCACACTATTGTGTTTTTGGCAACCAAAAATGTTACTAAAAACTCAGCTCACTCCAGATGGGGCCTCATTAGGGCAGAGTAGAGGGGAAGGAGAATCTCCCTTGACCTACTGGCCATACTCCTCTTAATGCATCCCAGGATATCATTTTCCTTCTTGGCAACAAGGGCACACTGCTGGCTCATGGTCAACCTGTAGTCCACCAGCACTCCCAGGTCCCTCTCCACAGAGCTGCTCTCCAGCAGGCCAGTCCTAAGCCTGTATTGGTGCATGGGGTTATTTCTCTCCAGATGCAGCACCCTACACTTGCCCTTGTTGAACCTCATCAGGTTCCTCTCTGCCCAACTCTATAGCCTGTACAGGTCTCACCGAATGGCAGCACAGCCTTCCGGTGTATCCACCACTTCTCCCAGTTTTATATTGTCAGCAATGCCAATATTGTCAATTCATCCAGGTTATTGATGAGTAAGCTGAACAAGACTGGGCCCAGTACTGACCCTTGGGGAACACTAGTTACAGGCCTCCAACTAGACTCAGCGCCACTGATGACAACCCTCCGAGTTCTGCCATTCAGCCAGTTCTCAATCCACCTCACCGACCACTCATCCAGCCCATACTTCCTGAGCTTCCCTAGGAGGGTGTTATGGGAGACAGTGTTGAAAGCCTTGCTGAAGTCAAGGTAGACAACATCCACTGTTCTCCCCTCATCTACCCAGCTGGTCACACTATCACAGAGAGCTATCAGATTGGTAAGGCATGATTTCCCCTTCGTGAATCCATGCTGACTACTCCTGATAACCTTCTTTTCCTCCACTTGCTTAGAGATGATATCCAGAATGAACTGTTCCATCACCTTTCCCGGGATGGAGGTGAGGCTGACCGCCCTGTAGTTCCCTGGTTCCTCCTTCTTGCCCTTTTTGAAGACTGGAGTGACATTGGCTTTCCTCCAGTCTTCAGGCACTTCTCTTCTCCAGGACCTCTCAAAAATGATGGAGAGTGGCTCAGCAATGATATCTGCCAGCTCCCTCAGCACTTGTGGGTGCATCCCATCGGAGCCCATGGATTTGTGGGTGTCCAGTTTGCTTAGATGATCTCTCACCCGATCCCCCTCAACCAAGGGAAGGTCTTCTTTTCTCCAGGCATTTCAAAGCTCATGTCAGTTCAACTTGCTTATCTCACTCTACAAAGAAGCCAAGAGCAGAAGGCAGCAGAAGAAGAATTCATCAAGAGCAGCTATGAAGTATATGCTGCCACCAAATCCTCATTGCCATGAACACCACCACTGTTGAAGCAATGGAGTTTGCAAAGCACAATGAAGACATCAGATGCACCATTTTCATGGATACACAATAAAATTCTTGTATCATTTACACCTTAACAGCTCTCGTAGTTGACGCCAAACCAGTCAAGCTGCCTTTCTTTCCATTACAGAATATAGCCTTCTGTCTTGTTTCCGGAGTCTGCATATATAATAACACAAGCTAACAAAATTTCCAAACACTGTCATAGCACTAAAAAGGCATTATGAGATACCTAGATCTGAACATTTGATAAGTTTTGTTTTACATAAGATAATCACAGTGCCTAAAGCTCCTCAAGTTTCCAACACTACTTCAGTAGGCTGACATTACAATCTACTTACAAGCAAGTGATAATGGTTTGTCGTTAAAAGGGTTGACACTTTTTATGTCTGGCTTCACAGATCACCAAAGTAGAGCTATGAAACCATGTTATTAAGCCCTCTTTTTAATTTATTAGGAAATGACAATTTAAAGCTTAAGATTCAAATTCTTTATAGTTTCTCCTAATAAAAGCTTAATTTGTGAGTCCTTTCTTAAAGCCAACTGTATAAACTATAGAAAGCAAAACAGTTTTACAAACTTTAGCTGATGATTCAACTGTTCCTTGTTAGGAAAGCCAGAAGTAGACCTCTTTACTTGTATATAATCAGTCATATACTCAAATTCTTCAGAAATGCACTTATGATTATCAATTTTTTTTTCATTTTTGGGTTTTTTTAACAGTTATGCCATAGCAGCACAGATCAAGAGAAACATTACCTGTTTGTCAATTGCGGCTTCCAGTTCAGGGTAGACTACTTTATCAAGCTGGATATCTGGAAACAGGTCTTCAATTAGACTCAGGAATAAGGGTTCATCTTCATCAATCTAGTGAAAATCAGGGGGAAAAAACCCCACAGATTAAAACCTATTTTATTTATTCTAGCATCTTAAAAAACAATCCCTAACTCTCGCAGAGCTAAAGAACTACTTGAAAACCTAAGGAATCATCAATGGTAATGCTCTAGGTGCTAAACACTCTAGCAGGACACAACAGAAGATGATCATGTGATGCTTCCAATAATCAAAAGTTACTTAAAATAAACCACTAACATGCAGACTGAATTTATTAAAGTAGATTTTAGCAATAACATTTATACAAATAGTAAAAATTTTTCTAAGGTGTAAAAAATATGATAAAGGAGATGAAGTATCACAGCAACAGAATAGGTTCTGTTAGCAATTTAAGATAGATGACACGGTACTTTTAAGTACAAACAACAGATTATTTCAAAAGAGTGAACAAATGCTTTAGGTCAAAAGTTCTAAAGAGGTTACTACACAGACTTCTATTTGGTTGCTTATTTCCATAGATATCAGGGGAAATATGTAAAAAAAAATTTTGAACAATTCAAGGTGTTGTGGTTTAACCCATGTAGGCAGCCAAGCACCACACAGCCCCTCACTCACTCCCTCCCCAGACCCATAGAAGGTACTGCAAAGAAAATTAACTCTATCCCAGCCAAAACCAGTACCCAAGACCATCCAGAGAATGGAGCATTTCCAAGCTAGTTTCAGTGTAAAGGCCACATCCAATCTCCTAGTAATCACCTTAACAGATTTAAACTGTATTTCCAAAAAAAACAAGTAGCTCCAAAGTGCAGTTCAATTAATTTACCAGGCCCTCCAAACTTACTAGTTTAGACAGGTTCATGTCTCTCAGCACTCGCATGACAATGGTAGATTCAGTGTCTGTGGGATTTGACCTCTTTGCTGCTCCTAATGTACGTAGCACTGACAATATATTCCGCAAGCCAAAATCATAATGCACCTAGAAGATATGCAAAGTTTGGAAAAATTTTCCTGGAATTAACAATTATTAATTAAGTTATCATTTAAGATATGGTTATGTATAAGAAGTGGTACATGTGGCACAAATGCTCCCTAACATCCAACAACCAGTCTCTGGCCGTATGACTGAGTGACTTCATTCTCCACCTCTGCTACTATCTACTAAACCGTAAGGTGTGACAGAAGAAAGAAATGTAATCACAAGTCTCTGAACCAAGACAAGTTTCCCAAGGACTATTACAAAATAAACTAGCAGTATTATTTTGAATTCTCTGTGGACCTTGGAAACTGACTTTATTTGAGAAACATCTAAACAACCACAGGCAGCACAAACCAAATGCATCTCAATCCTCTCTATAAGACCAGCTAATACATAAGCCCTTTATTTGCCTCAATCACCACCAATTATTAAAGCTATGCAGTTTTCTAAATGACAGTTCCATTCTTGTACAGATAACCTGTATCAGAAGTTAATCCTCCAGGACAGCAAAGGGTTGCACTACTAAACAGTAAGTGACATTTAGCTTACTTAGTGAACATGAACTTTTCCATTTTCTTCACATAGATACTAATAATTTGTGACATCATACATACTTTTTCCCTAAGACAAATTTTCCTTCTATGGAAATAATCACCTGCTTTGACAATTGTTCTTCACACAGCTTGTACAGTGTAAAGAATTTCCTTGCCAATACAACATTAGTAATGAAACCACAACTAGCCATTTTGACACGAATTATGATTTGACGATCAGGAACCATCATAGCCACCGAACGGAAGTTGATCTTCAGGTTTTCAGGAAGTTCTTGCCGTCCAGCATATCCTGGATTCTGGAGAGAAGAGCAGGTTTTGAAGTTGATTGCACCTTGCACAAACAGAAAAATCCGCAAAGGAACGTGTAATCTGGTTAGACAAAAAAAGACTTTTGGCTTTAGATCACATGTAAAAATGAATTATCGTGCAAATTCACCACCATACCTCTACAGAATTTCAGCCCTTCTTACATTCATGAGATATGAAAAACCTTCCAACTAAACACTTGAAAACTGTATTTGTCTGATTGGTCCTGTTTTTACAGGCTACTTCCACCTACATCTCTATGACCATTTATCTGCACTTGTAGCAAAAAGCATACTTTGGGAACCAGAATGTAGCACGCAGAAGTAAACCGACATTGAGATAACTTATATTTACAATGCTAGCTGCATTTATTAATTGCATGTGCTTGATGTCATTGAAGCCAAGGCCCTGTAAACTGTCTTTGTAGTAATGCTCACTTATTCTCAAACTGTCAGCGAGTTCTAAGAGCTGAGTGACATAAGACTTAGCAAGTACGTTTAACATCCCAGGTTAGAAGCGATTATTGTATAATCATCAATGGCATGCTACAAACTTATTGAATACCTACCATAGTAAGAAAGATGCCAAATTCTGGGTTCATTTCCACATTATCTCCATCAGTAAAAACAAAGGTTTTTTTACGTTCTTTCTTACATGTCAACACAATCGCAATTTGCTGTGCAGCTACCGATAATACTGGTAAATCAATACGATTGAATTCATCAAAGCAACCCCAAGAGCCAGACTGAGCAAGACCTTCAAAGAGAAAAGCAATTAAGCATCTTACCTTTATGTTGTTAACCCTTTTCTGGTGAAATTCATAAGCAAAACATGAGGTTTATCTATCTCAGACAAAAAAAATTTATTGTAAGGGTTGGGAGGTGACAAGAAGACTTTAATTCTTTTTCAAGCAAGAACTCACAAAGATCCAAAAGTCCTCAAGCTTGTCTAGGATACTACATCCTTCAATTTCTCCTCCTTCTCTGTTTCTTGAATATTTTCCTGTTCCTCCCTACTCCCCAAAAAAACTCCCTGCAATAAGTCTATGAAAATATGACAGGTTGTCAATAGCTTATTGCACAGACTTCAATGAACAATAAAGTTGCTTTCACTTGGAAACAAGTTAGGAGTCAGTCTGTGCCAGAACTGCACTCTTCCTTGGATATTTTGGAGTAAACAAAACAAACAAAACATATCATCACCACAATCACTTGCAACAATACAATAGTCAAGGACCTCCACTTGATCTCTAATTCAACATCTGCCATGACTGACAGGTATCAATTTCAGGTGCCTAAAAAAAAAACCTCTCCTGCATCTAACTTCAGTGAGCTGTGCCAATTGTTTTTAACATATATAGCACTATTCACGCACTCACTTCCATTGATAAGAACTTTGACATTTGAAGGAGACAAAATACTGAAATCAGAATCCAATACATTCTACCAGTTCAGGAATAAATTTCACTGCTTTTTCTTTTTGTGTTGTCAGTCCTCCGTGATTGTTTTAAGTGTCTTAATATACACTTTCATAAACTGTCATATGTTTTCAGACATTTCTATTTCTTGGAGACAGTGTTGCAAATGTATTTTACATTCACAACAAGATATTCATTACTTGCCTTTATTAAAAGGCTGAAAACGACCTGCTGATTATGTGTTGACCTTGTTTTATAAAGATGTTCTCACTTTCACATAACCCATAGCATCTGTCCTGGTTTCTGCTCGGATAGAGTTAATTTTCCTCCCAGTGGCTGCTGTGTTTTGGATTTAGTAGGAGAACAATGTAGATAACACTGATGTTTTCAGTTGTTGCTAAGAAATCAAGGACTTTTTTCAGTTTCCCATGCTCAGCTAACCAGCAGGTGTGCAGGAGCTGGGACGGAGCATAACCAGGCAGCTAACCCAAGCCAATCGACGAAAATATTCCATATCATAGATGTCATGCTCAATTTATACAAGGGGGGCTGGCTTGGGGGGCAGAAATTCTCTTTTTTTTCATGAGTTTGTTTTTTTCCATGAGTTCATACTTTTTCAGGAGTTGGGCAAACCCGTGAAACCCACAGGTTCCACAATTGCTACTTGGGCACTCGCTATGCAATCAGTCATCACACAGTGAGAAAAACTGATTGTGTATTGCTTGGTTTGCATATATTATTATTGTTAGCATCATTATTATTATTTCCTTTGCCGTCTTATTAAACTGTCTTTATCTCAACCCATGAGTTTTACTTTTTTTCATTCTCTCTCCCATCCCATGCTGGGGGGAGAAGTGAGTGAGTGGCGGCGTGGTCCTAATTGCCAGCTGCCAGGTTAGACACGACAAAATCATATAATCACAGAATATCCTGTGTTGTAAAAGACCCATGAGGATCATCAAGTCCAACTTCTGACTCCACACAGGGCCACCTAAAAGTTAAACCATGTTAAGAGTTTGTCCAAACACTACTTGAAGACTGATACAGTTTGAGCCCTGACCGCTTCCTTGAGGAACATGTTTCAAGGCTTTACCACACTCCCAGTGAAGAATATTTTCCTAATATCCAATCCAAGATTCACCTGATGCAGATTTAAGCCATTGCCTCATGTTCTATCACCAGACACCAGAGATCAGCACCTCCCTCTCTGCTCCCCTTCATGAGGAAGTTGTAGACAGCAACGAGGCACCCCTCAGTCTCTCTTTCTCTAAGTTGAACAAACCCATTATACTCAGCTCTTCCTCATAAGTCATGCCCTCTAGTTCTTTCACCATCCTTGTTGCTCTCTTTTGGACACATTCTAATATTTTTATACACTTCTTACACTGTTGATCCCAAAACTGTACACAGTACTTGAGGTGAGGCCATTCCAATGCTAAGTACAGTGGGACAATCACTTCTTTTTACTGACTAGTTATACTGCACTTAATTCACCCCAGGATACAGCTGACCCTTTTGGCCAACTTCTTATATTTGGTCCACATCTTACCTTTGAAGATCCTCCCAAGTCCTCGGAAATCCATCTGGTCTGAACAGTTGAAGACCACTACGTATTTTCCAAGGCACCGTCCCATGTCTTTGATGGTTTCAGTTTTTCCAGTTCCTGCAGGTCCCACAGGTGCTCCACCCATGTTCATGCCTAAAGCTTGAGCCAAAGTGATGTAACATCTAAAAGGAAACAGGCCTATATAGTTTAGAAAAAACAAAAACAAAACAAAATAACATTCATCCACCCTATGTCCTTATTTTGCCAATCACAGCTTATAAAGAATTTTTTTGTGTTATTCCAGTTAGGTAGCTAGATTTTTCTGTTAATAGGACTGCAATTCTTTCAACATTCTTCTAGATCAAAGATCTCCAGTCTATTGCAGGTAAATAAAATTGTTTTTTCTGTCTATTCTTCCTTAGCAGTTTTCATTAGCTTGCCTGTAAACGCCTACTTTTGTCCTATATCTCCCTCCGCAAATTGTATCTGCTGGATGTACCTGATCCTCAGGTACACTAGCCTCACATACATGAGAACAAGAATCCCATACATCACACATGCGGCGAACATCCAAGTATGTGGCAGAAACTAAGCCGGAGATTAAGGCACAGAAACAAAAATATTCATGTAGTCCATGTAAAATTATTGACTTTGATATGACTGTGAAGGATAAACTCTGCAGACATCTATTTTGCATCCAATAGGAATCATTAAATTGGTCCTGTAAAAGCCTAGGTTTGGCATCAAAGAATAAAGGAATAAAATCAGGTTTTTTCACCTGTCTGTAAGAGGCGTTATGACAAGCCTGTCAGTACAGCCCAAGAATTCATTCTGGTATGTGAAAACCACATCAGTGATCTTAATCATCATTTTATCAGAGTCTTCATTAAAATAAAATCTACATTGTTTCAGCCACTCGAAGTCTGTAGGGCTCTTGATGTGCATGCAACACTAAGAAAAAAGGGGAAAAAATGGCTGTGGTATTCATGGCTAACATTTACTTTTACATTTATATTATCTCATCTAAGTAGTACTGCAAAGGCAGCACTGCAGTCACAATGAAAGGCATAAAGAACAACTAGTAACACAATAATAGTGGAAACTCTATCTTCATTTTTACCACAAAAATTGCTAATATGTTATTGCTGTCCCTGAAACTCATACTAAGGCAAAGGAACTTCAGGTTTTAGAAAAGTCCGTCAAAATTCTAAATACATATGAACAGTCCATGAGCCTCAAACAAAAGTCGCTCAGTTAACAAAAAACCTACCATTTCTTTTGCTCATCTCTACCACTTTATTTTTATATACGAGTAGGAAGTACATAATGTGATACCCGATTTCTAAAAAAGTCATGAGAATTTTATGAAACCACATGCAAATTGGAAAAAAGGTATTTCAACACAGTATCATGATGGAAATATTAGTTAAGAAACTCAACAGAGCTGGGAGTAATTCAAAGTTGACCAATTGAATCTTAAAACAGGACTAAAAAAGATGCTCTGCAGGTTGTATTTAAAAATTATACTTCACATAAGGTCATTATAACTAGAAACAACTGATTCTACAATGAAAAGATAGGTGCCTGCCTATCAGCTATGGGTTAAAACACAGTAATTCTTTTCTCAGACAGCTGAATTTCAGAGTCAGGTCCAGACACTCCTATAGGTAACAGGGTACGCTAGCTTTTAAGTTTGATTGTTGTACTGGATTTGTATGGCAAGGTTTTGTTAGCTGGTGGGGGGCCGTGCTAGGGGGGTACAGGCGTGTCTTCTGTGAGAAGCTGCTAGAAGCTTCTCCTATGTCTGATAGAGCCAGTGCCAGTCAGCTCTAAGATGGATGCGTTGCTGGCCAAGGCCAAGTCAATTAGTGACAGTGGTAGTGCCTCTGTGATAACATATTTTAAAAGGGCAAAAAAAACCAAAACACACAATTATGTGAGGGCATTTTGTGGCTAGAAAGAGGAGATGTGAGAGAAATAACCCTGCAGATACCAAGGTCAGTGAAGAAGGAAGGGGAAGAGGTGTTCCAGGTGCCAGAGCAGAGGTTCCCTAGCAGTCCGTGGAGAAGACTACGGTGAGGCAGGCTGTCCCCCTGCAGTCCACGGAGGTCCACAGCGAAGCAGATATCCACCTGCAGCCCATGGAGGACCCCACACCACAATAGGTGGGTGCCTGAAGGAGGCTGTGACCCCATGGGGAGCTTGTGCTGGAGCAGGCTTCTGGCAGGACCTGTGGCCTCATGGAGAGAGGAGCCCACGCCGGAGCAGGTTTGCTGGCAGGGCTTGTGACCCCACGGGGGACCCACGCTGGAGCAGTCTGTTCCTGAACAACTGCACCCCATGGGAAGGACCCCAGGCTGCAGAATTTTGTGGAGAAATGTCTCACGTGGGAAGAACCCCGCGCTGGAGCCAGGGAAGAGTGCGAGGAGGAAGGAGCAGCAGAGACAACGTGTGAGCAACTGACCACAGCCCCCATTCCCTGACCCCCTGTGCCACTCAGAGAGAGGAGCTAGGGAAAATCAGGAGTAAAGTTGAGCCCAGGAAGAAGGGAGGGGTGGGGGGAAAGCGTTTGAACATTTGGTTTTATCTCTCATTATCATTGCTCTGATTTTATTTGTGATAAATTAAACTAACATCCCCAAGTTCAATATGTTTTGCCCATGACAGTAACTGATGAGTGATCTCTCCCCGTCCTTATCTCAACCCACAAGCCTTTTGTTGCATTTTCTCTCCCCTGTCCTGCTGAGGAGGGAGAGTGAGAGAGCAGCTTTAGTGAGCACCTGGCATCCAGACAGGCTAAACCACAACATTTGTTTAAGCAGTGAATGCTTTTATTCTCCTAATTTTAGTATCCTGTGGCTGCATGAGAAGGTGTGAAGTGAATAAGTAAATCCCTATGTAATTATTAGGTATGCTATTGAAACTAAACAAAAGGTATAGCAGCTTCAACCAGCTTTAAACTTATTTCCCATTCCATAATTCTACATTCATTTTACTCCTTGAAACTCACAATGCAGTCCAGAGAGACAACAACTGCTTGCAACACAACGTATGAGGAAAAATAAGTCCATAACTGATCATGCAACAGAGGCATTAAGTGGGTCAACACAAAGCATTGTAAAATTCTGCTACTGCTTGTTGGGGAAAAAAAACCACTGAATTAATTAAAGGGAAACTAAGACACAGATTGAAGCAACTTCAGCATTTTTATAATACTCTAGGTCACATAATCATTACAGTCCTGAAATTAATTTTTTAGCTTACAGCGCAGGAGTCCATAAGTATAGTAACTTGTTCTTCCTGTCCTTTCACATTGTTTTACATGGAAAGGACCGCATAACTTGTCGTAAATTTTTAAGTACTTACCAGACCATCAAAAATGTCCCTCTGATGTACATGAATAGTGATTAATGTCTCGTATTTAACTCGCTCGACTGGGCTAAGGTCCATTGTTGTCATATCTATCAGCATGTTCAGAAGATCCAGGAAAAACTGGTTCGTCTTTCGCATAATTTTTTTATCATACCTGGCATTAGTCAAAGCTTCTTCTGAGTCTCTTGTCCAAATCATTTGGATTCCCAACAATCCAACCTTGGGAAACAAAAGTATTATGCTTCATATTCTTTTCTCTTTCACCTAAAACGTACATTCACAGACACAGGTAAACTAAAGAAATAGTTCTGCTACTATCTGTATAAATTTTTTTTCATGCCCACATAGAGATCATTCAACCCATGCACTTGTCCCAACTCCATTCATAAACACATCGCTAAGTCCACACTTCAGTCTTGTAGATACTGCCTGAGGTGCACTGCTGACACAACTCTTCAATATAATTTAAAGCATATATATAGGTACTGCATATAATGAATATACTTTTTATATACCATTAATAACTAATCAGTGAAGAATTCATGCTTCAATTTAAAGTACTTTTTCAATAATTCACAAATTCTTTATTCCTTCTCCAACAACATTCCTGACCACAAGTGAAGAAGCTTCTACTAAGAAAAAAATTTTTCCTCAGCACTACCCTTATCTCCAAATCTTTAGCTATATATAGTGTTTTCCTGAATATATAAACAAACATACAATGTTACTACTTTTTTTTCAGTAGTCAAGTTTTAAGCCTGTAATCAAACGGTATTAACTCCATTGCTGTAATTTATTGCATTCAGCATTATTTTTGAATAAGAGCTTCAGGGTACATTTTCTTCTTTTAGTTTCAGATATACAAAGTGTAACTTCCAAGGCTGAGGTGATTAAGACAAATCTAAATGTCACTTTTGCATTTACAACACTGGCTGCAATTTTGATTGTAATCACAAGAAAAAAAAACCATCAACATGCTAGATGTCTGTGAACAATTCTTCACTGATTTAACAACGATATTACCTGGGCTGGGTAAGTAGAAAGAAATTCAGACAACTGGAAACTAGTTTCCTGGATGTGCGCAGCTGCCTGGCGAATAACATGATGCAGTGACAGCTGGGATTCCTTCAACAGAGAATTCAGCCAAACTTCCACGTTACCTTCAGCCATTACAGGTCTAGTCAGCTCCACAGTCTCACCCTCTCGTGAACTAATCGACAATATACAATCGTATATCTAATAAAAGCAAAGCAAGAACATTTTGTGTTTATAGATTTATTGTTACCTTTACCATAATTGTCTGATTTTCCCTGCAAACACGCCATTAAAATTATTTACATAACTAATAAATTATATCTGTCTGTCAAGTGAAATATAAAAACAATTAAAACATTACTTCTTCTGTGCAGAAAGGCATTAAACAAAATAGTCATCTGAACAAGGAGATAAACTGCAATACACTGACAATTCCTGAATTTCACTCAAGTTTCACTGACAATATCCGCTTTCCAGTCACAATAAAGGAAACCTTCCCCCGTTACTGGTGGACTAATACCCTAACAAAATTTACAGCCTCATAATCAAAAATAATAGGAACACAAAAGTTAAAGAACATGGTCAATCACAGGAATTTCAAACTCATGGGGAGGCAGCGAATTTCTAAGAAAATATATACACATGAACAAAAAAAAATTTTTTTGTTATTATCTGTTCTTGTAAAAGGTATGAGAAAATTGTTCTTCAAACAGTATGCTTGAAGGGATATTAAGGATAATTCAGAAACAGATAAGAGACTAGATACACTTTTTCTTACAACCAAAAAATGCATGAAAGTATAAACATAGGCAATTGAAAGATACAAATATGCTCATAAGTCACAGAAGATAGTTCAGTACCTGAGTGTTTTTTTCTGAAACCTAAGCACTGGTGCAAATTTTTGTTTGTTTTGCTATTCTATATAGAGTTTTCCTATTACATAAATAAATATGAATGGATATGAAACTAAATCTTAAATAAAGAATGCCTATGCAGCACCAATTAGTTGATGAGCTTGGTAAAAGAGCTGAATGCTCCATGCACCCAGGTAGCTTTCTTATGTAACAAGTATCGCACATCGTTAATCTGAAAGAATGTAATATTGAGGTGTGGGCACCACATACCTTTTCATGGAACCTGACAGTTTTAATGTTATCAAAGACATTCAGCAGATGTGCCTGTATGTTGTGAGAGTCTGATGCCTGGCCAAGAATTTCTAAGAGAGCAGGATCTGACACAAAGAAGAATCGTGGAAATAGGAGACGCTTTTTCTCCAGGTACCTGCATTTAACAAAAAAAAATTGGCGGGCCGGTGTGTAGGTGGTAAGGGAATTAATTTATACATCTTTTCCTCTTTACATGTGGCATTTCATTGTACATTCAATGTATCATTGCAATTTTTAGCAGTGGCAGTGACAACAATTCCTACCCCTCATACCTTCATGTTAAGCACCGGCGTTCAAGCTATTCTTTTAGTATCAGAATTCATTTCATGGAAAGCTTTTATTATTTGCTATAAACATCAGTAAAAAGAAAAGAAGCTAAACCAAAATAAGATGTTTTTACATTAAGTCTGCTACTTGCTATTTAAGTCTACTCATGCTGAATTTCTCCCAGACTTGTGAAAGGTCTGAACAGGTCATACAGATCTAGACTGCCTCTGTATTAGAACTAGGCTGAAACAAGCTTTGGTTTCAACAGAGACAGACAGTGAGTGACAGCTTAGTCACAAATCAAATACTCATCAGTGAGTTGCTAGCAATTTCCTTGGACGTGTTGTATCATTCTGCTGACTTGTTTGCTCAGTTCAACTGAATTCATAGTAGAATAAGAACATGATCTTTGCAATGTCTGTGTGACAGCACTCCAGCTATTGCGCTTTCCCTAGTTACACAATTCACAACCATCCGCCCAAGACTGTGGTTTTACAGCAATCTTACCCAGTGAGTGATTTCTGACAGATTTCAAGCTGTTCTAGTAAATGTGGCAGTAGCTGTCCCATAATCTCATCTCCAATGCAGCACTGAACAACATTAGGTGTTTCATGAGCTCGGGTCATGATCCTCACCCAGGATTTATCAATGTTAGAGAAACGCTTTGCTTCCTGTTGAAACATGACAACAAATGTGGAAGGGAAGAGATGGAGGAAGAAAGAGAGAAGAGGGAAAAGGCATTTGCTTGTAGAATTGGCACCCAGTAATCTCACCGGTAATCTTCTTACTAGTAATCCCATGTCCAACTTCTGAAGATTTCTCAGCTTAGAAAAACACAAATCATTCTGCGTATACAATACAGCTTATTTTATACTTGACTGTCAAGCCTGCTTGTCTACTTTCTCTTTCAATAATTTTTTGAGAAAAAGACAGAAAACTCATTATGCTTGAATTGCATGCTTCAACTTTGAAGATTTTTTTCTAAAAACTAAAGTTAATTTTTAGTTTGAAAAGCTATGCACGAAAGCTTAAGAGAAGTATTCCTAGGAATTACTAGGCTAGTGGTAGGTACTACTGCGCTAGCCTAGGCTACCACTAGGCACAACACTTAAACATATTGGTTAACAAATTTACGATCTAAAAATAAAAAGATGAACTAGCTCACACAATCTTATTTTTCTTTCTAACACAATACTTCTGTTGGCATTGTTTACCTAATTTCTTAGCAAGACTAGTTTTGTTAAGTAGCAAAAAAATGAATTTTATGTTACTGCATCAATTATGACATCACAGATAAGTTTTATTCTTAACATGTAGAAAACTAAACTGAAAAAAGGCATGTCGGAAAACCTTTGGAAGCTGCTTTGCTATGTCACCACCAACAAAAACAGCTTCTAAATAAATCCACAAGTTCTGCACGGTCATCCAGTTCTCAATGATATCTGTTGTGTTGGAAAGATAGTGTACCCATTTCTGAATCTGTGTCTTGAAGGGTGTATTGTATCTAAAAAGAAAAGAGGACACTTGCTTTATTTCAAGACAGAAATAAGTCTCTTGAAAGCCAGTACATTACTCTTAAGGATGAGGAATAATTATGCTGCTTGTATCTTTGTCAAATGAAAGTATAAAAACCTATACTTAACTCAGCTAGTTAGCAGCTATAAACCAAATCAGCTCCAGCTTGCTGCTTTGTACACATGGTACACAGCACAGCTCTGATCCAACAGAAGCTGAACAGGAGAAAGATTCCAATTTCACTCTAAGGCAAAGTGGTTTTAAAAAGGTACTACGCAACACCTGGAGAACTGCAAGACTCCCAGAGGCACCTATCAACTGAACTCTTGCTTTTGAACATCTGCCTGATGATCAGGTTCTGTGTTTCTTATTTTATCTGTGGGCTTTGGCATGTGAAACAAGACAAACTGATGCTCATTTTAACTGCGATTTTCAGTGCCTTTGGCACAAGGCAGTGACCTATCACAGGGGGAAGAGCAGCAGTTCCTGTAATGCCCATAGTATGCCTGCCACAACCAGGCACTGTTCCCCTTTACGCTCATCACCACTTTCTTGTATCAACAAAACTGTCCAGTTGATCATTCAGGAAGTCTGAACTGCATCCACATGCCTTCAAGATAACTTATTGGAGGGATACAAACAATAAGTAGTAGCCCATGAATAGTTCAAGGACAAGCAAGCACATAATTTTTACCTAGAAATTTATTTTACTTCTCCTCTGTGAAAGACAGATTTGTTCAATAAAACAAAGCCTATTGCTGATATTTTTATCCCTCCTCCTTCCTTTTCTGTTACCTGTTACTCATAAGAGAGCCAAGGATTATCAAGCTGTCCTCCATGGTAGCAATTGTTTCTGATGTGCTGTCACCTCTTAAAAGAAGTTCCCCACGCGTTTTAAAGTTTGCGAAGACAAATGTTTTGTTGTCCCACTCAGCTATCACTTGTTTTAACTTCTGCTCAATGTCTCTCTCCTTCACAGCACTTCTGCAGATATCCTTTTAAATAAATAGGATGTCAAAACAAGCTATGAATGGATCAGGTCTCCAGTACACAAACCTAACCCATATTCCTTTAACCCTAGGTAAGGCTGATGAGCAACTATTCATCAAATCGAAAGATCTACAGACATACAAACACCATAGCCAATAATCTATATACCACACCATGACATCATCAGCTTTGGGGGGAATAAAAGAATTATACAGTGATTACTTTTCATGTCTTCAACATTGCAATGTAAGGCACCCTCACAAATTAACTCCTGGGCCAAGTTGCATGATTTAAAAAGAGGAGTTGACACCACAATATATTTGTGTCATTATTTTATAGAGAAAGCTGAAGTGATAGTTCATTTCTCTGTTCTTTCTTTAGAAATATTCTGTTATCCTTCTCAGTACTGTTGCTCCTACGCTATTTGAGCAGATTGTTTTGTTTCATGCATCCACTTGTCTTCCTTCACAATACCTCTATTTCGTCTTTATATCTTAATAGTGGAGCTTCCATTATATTCCTTAGTTTAAATGTTTCACTTTCCACATCAAAGTTGTGTTCAGTGAGATCCATAATCCTCTTCCAGTGTCGAGGCATCATTGCTTTACTCAACATACGCTCAAGCAATGGGCAACATTCACTGAAGTTCTCAATGGTCTTCTTTAGGTCCAAAAAGGCTTGCCATTCCTTTACACCACGAGGAAGCTTACAGCATCTAAGTAGAAATAATGCAAGTTTTGCCAAACAGTTTCAAATATTCTTTCTGTTACCCATTTAACCACAGTACATGGCTTTAACAGCAGACCACATACCTTCCAAATTCAGGCTATCTGCATTTCAAAGATTTTGTGTATGGTTCTGCATGTGAGAATATCTGTTTCCAGTCTATTTCATTGACTGGTAGCGGGCCAGGCACCTATAGGCTCCGCTTTAGGAATATAGCTGCATAATTCTAATACACTTCATCCAAGCGATCTTCAAAAACAATTGAAATGTTTTACATCTTCATTTCATGTTCTGGTGACGATCATGATGTGCATTGCTCTGTGCTCTAGAAAAAACCCTGTTCCTCGAAACATGCAGGTTTAATTCTTTAAATCATTTGATTCCTGGTTTGATGAAAAGTTCGGCTTTTATGCATGCATTATATCCCATTTTGTAGGAAACCTATTCAGCAATTCACTAACTTGCCTTAGACATCTAGGGTCAATTTCTCTCATGAATAATAATATTACAACAAACAAGTAAAGTTTCCATTCGTGAAAAAAATAAATAGCAATTTTAACATATATTCTAATCTCGTAAAAAAAAGTTAACCAAGAAGCTCTCTAAGGAACAATAATCCTCAATAGAGTCTAAACAGGCTCCTTTATTTTATGAAGTTGGTAACGGATATATTTTTCAATTAAAACTCACTATTTTTCATGTTTCAATGAACAAATACATGCTCAGATATGATTATTGGTGCTAACTAATTATAATAATACTTAAGAGATAACAAAAGTACTTCAGGTATCTTTACCACACTAGTAGCTTCTCACCTGTTTTGAAACTCCAGAAGTTCACTGTTAATTTTTCCAATGTCTAATTCTGACCAAAGAATATCATAGTAGCCACTGACTGTGTCAATGACATTGTTATATAGATTATAGAGTTTCTGTAGCAGATTCAGTTGCTTCTTTATTTCAAGCAGATGAGGATACCGAGTAACAGGCAAACCAAAAAGATCTTCCCCACTAGTATAAGTAATATATTTCCGAAAAAGATTATCAAATCGATTCTAAGAAAGAAAAAGAAAAATATTAAATTAAATAACTAAATATTCAAGATCTGGCATTATGCTTAGAGCTGCATTAGTGAGTAAAATCTAGTAAATACTAGAAAGACAGCTTACACTGTCAACTATTTTGTCAATGATTTCCATGAGAAAAGTAACTTTTAATTAGCTTGGAGGCATATATTCAGAAGTTGACAGAGGCCATTTACTCCACGTGGCACAGTGATAGAACAGCAAATGCTAAGCTTGCACTTGAAAGAGGTGGAGCATGACATGCAAAGCAAAGAAAGGTGGATGCAGCAAATTCTACCTCTCCAAGTACACTGTGCAATTCTTTTATTGAAGGGTTGAATTAAGAATTACTACTGTTTAAGCAGCAAAGAAAAACAAAATTTGTCAATTGCAGTATAACTGGGGGAACATAGAGAGAAGCCAAATGAATAGCATTATGGGAAAAGGAAAAGCATTAGGAGTCATCATTACAGAAATAGAAATTAATCCTGGTACAAAGAAACATTTCAACAGGAAAAACAGTCAGTTTAAATGGAAATCTTTAATACATTTTAAAAAAAAAAAAACGGGAGGAGAGGTGAACAAGATAGGGCAGAATTGTATTCATGAGGAAAAGACACAACAATGGACACAAGAACAGCCTATAGCCAAATACACTAAACGTGAGAGTAGGCTCTCATCAGGATATACTTGAATCTAGTAGTTATTATTCATTATCTGTACAGCCTTTCCCTTAGCTCCTAAAAAATCCAATTTTAAACAGCATCCCTTGCAAATGCATAGAAAAATTACCACCTTAGCCTTCATTAGGTTAAAACACACTTGCAATAATTATTAAGCAATGTCTTAGAATTAACAGTACCTGAAACATAGTAAGCCTGTCACTGGCTTCCTGAGGCTCTAAACCAACCACCATTGGCCCATTCTGAAAAAAAAAAACCACCAACAAAAAACAAAAAAAACCACACAAGATTAATTTTGAAGGTGAAAATATCCACAACTTGTTTCTAATCAGCATTTTCCAAAAGGCTAAATTCAAACATTTTTGTGGCTGCAGGATTCCATCCCTATATCAGATAACAACTGAACCAAGAGACCACAGTTACCTACTAGAACAATCACTTTATTTAAAAAAAACAAAACACCACACACAAAGAAGGCAATTGTCTTTTTAATACAGAAATTTTAAAAATAGTGTAAAAGCTAGGCAGAAAGAATGTAAGAGATGAAGTCATTTGTACTTCTATTCAACACCAGAAAACGCTTCTTACATTCTAACATAATTTCTCATTAATCCTAATCTTCACATTTGTCATGTTACCTAGCTGTTTACTATAAACCCTAAATGTCTCAAGTCTTAATCTGTAAGACCTGATCACCAGCATTACATGCTTTAGTCACATACAAAAAATAACCAAAGCCTGCCCTGTATTGAAACTCAGATCAAGAATAAACACATTCTTCAGACAGTAGAGGCACATCCCATTAACAGGTCAACTCCACAATCTTTCCACGCTCCCACTGCTCCTCAAAAGCTCCTCTAATACAACACACCAAAAACACTTGCCTGATCATAATCTGAACAGAACTGTGTGCAGTCTTCAGTAAAAGTCTTCACAGCGTTAATAAGCTCTCCTCTGAAGTTTGGCTGCAAAGCAATGAGCTCATTCTGCACTTCATTTGCACGGACTAGCAGTTTTTCCCAAGTGTAGTGCAAAGTGTCCACCTTCTCTGTCTCTTCCTTGGCCACAAGTAGATCATATTTGTTTAACATAGCATAGGATTCCTGTGAGAAGGTTGGATCAAGATACACTAAATGGTAACTGAAGTTCATTTTACATACACATGTATGTTAACATTTCAAATTTTTAAGAATAGGGAATGATTTCTTAGAAAATCTGTTCTTTTTGCATAGCAATTATCACAATCTGGCAAACCAATATCCAACTGGAAGAAACATCAAAATGAAACTAGCTAGTTGTCCTTAACTCCTTATCTTTCACATAGCATTCTGCTTTCTGATAGATTATTTGCCCTAGTGCAATCTGCCTCTCTCAAAAAATATTTTCAGTTAAAGTACTCCTTAAGTCTGCAGGTTTTAGTTTCATTTTAATAAGAATATTTTTCTGATCCATGTCTTCAGTTATCTGCTATGACCCAAGCTGAATATTACGGGAGGTGAGCCATGAGGAAGCATCTAAGCACAGGCCTCCAAGTAAGCAAAGCAAACAGACTTCTATTCTGTAAAGACATTAAGGCGACACTTCATGTTTTCAACAAGAAAGAATTAGGAAACCAGATCAAAAGTTACCACACCTAATATGTTTCAACTATTTCAAATCTTACAACTATCATCATTCAGAACGAGGAATCTACTTAAAAATCTACTTAATGGTCTTTTTTTTCTTAGAACATTGATCTCCACCTGTACCACCAATGTATAAATACTCCACATACTGAAACTCTTAGTCAACTTTCACAAAAAAACAACTGAAATTCACTTACTGTAAATTAGATAGGTAGAGTAGCATTTAATCTTGTGGCATAACAGTATCATCTGAAAATTATTGTATAAAGTGGAATTATTTGCATTTACATTTTCTAGCTTGATCAAATTGCATACAAAATGCAAAAACGGAAACATAACTATCTGTCTGCCACCCCACTATGGGGAAAATATGTCTACCACAGTTTTAAAAATCTGAAGCACGACTCCTTGTGCCTAGAGACTCAAGGCTCCTGCTTGCAGAATTGGAAGCTTAGGAATCCTTGGCTCCCACGGCTTTTGCCTTGGCTCCACATCACATGGCAAATGAGGATAGGTCTTAGCAGGAACTTCGAAAAAGTCATGTCCTAGGAGGTCCTATTACCTATGAGAGTTTCACAGAAGGTTCCATCTGCAGACATGCTTTGCTTTTCACCATAAGCTGCTTGTGCTATTTTTGCTCCTTCACACAACCAGGGAGACCCTCACAGCACCTAAGGCTGAGATACATTCCTTCGCAACTATATTCTGTGAAATATGAAAGGGCTCCACCCTCATTTCCATTTTTTGCACATACGAGTACATACTGCATTCCATACTGTACCTCAGCTCAGAAAAAACAGAATTAGAAAACACAGGTGCAAGACATTTGTCTGACAGCAAATACAGTTCTTGTATCTCCAAAACAGAATATTAGAGTTGTCAATATTTGGTAGATAAGAATTCTGTGTTAAGTTACTTTAAAACAATAAGGACACAACCCTGAGAAGAAAATTATTGGCAATCAGGAATCATGAACATGTCATCGGAAAAAAAAATTCTACTGAACTTCTAGTTAAGGCTGCATTTTGCCAAACTACAGTGTTCTAAAATCCATACTCTGGTTCAAGACTGCAGAGAAACAGTTAGTCTCTGTTTTTAATTCTGTCATTTGATCAGAAGCCCCTACATTGTCAGATGTTCAATAAACGTATTCTAGGAAGTGAACTTCTTCAAGGAAGTCAATTGTTTATGTTTACTTCAACCCATGATACAGCTGATTAAGCATGCACTCTCACACATTCTCATATAATCTGCCTAACTTTAGCTTTCTTCTATTCCATAGGCTAAACCAAAGGAAAAAAAAAAAGGAAAAAAGAGGAAAATCAACGTTTTTTTACACAGATTTCTTCCACAAAGTACCAAAATCTTTCTTGCATTAAGTATCTGTATCCAAATCTTCCTCGCACCTAAATCAGTCAATTTCTGCACTATTCACTAAACCACCTCTCACCTCAACAAGTTTATATTTGTCCAAGCCAGAGTTCCACACAAAAAGGCTTACAGGAACACAACAGATTTGTCACCCAACATTTAACATATATTAAATCCTACCTTTTCAAAGCGCGAAGCTTTAACCCAGAAAATAATTGCTTTGTTGAAACAGTACCCATACATGCAACATTCCTGTTAACTACCTCAATGGGCCCAATTTGAGAGTCTATGGAGATCTGTAGTTCTCTGATCTCTTTTAAAGCTGACATGGCTATTCTTATATCATCCAGATCCTTGATGTGGCGATTTAACTTCTTGCCGGTTTCCTCTATAAAAGTGAAAATTGCTTCCATCTCTGTTCGGTACTTCTTATTACAATGACACCCCAGCAAATTCATCCAAGCTTTGGTTTCTGCTCGCAGTGCTAGCTTCAGATCAGCTAAAAACATTGAATAATTAATAGATATTTAGATATTGTAGATATTTTTTTAAGATGTACTTTTAATCTTTTTTCAGTATGTGTTCTCTTCACTTCCAGTTCTGATTTTTCAGTCTAACCATCTTTGTACAGAGAAGATGAAATCACATTGACACCTTTGAGTGGTTTATAGGATTGCTTGCAATTGAGGATTGCTTTCCTCCTAATCCTCTCAGAATATATAAACTTTCCTACTGGAAAGATGAGGCTGGACTCCATGTTTTCATCCTGTTTGTGCATCATTATACACATTTCCAACCGGGGGGGGGAGGAAGTAACAGTCTGATTATGGAAGCTGAAGTAATAGAAGATTTGATCTGATATTTAACGAAACCAAATGGTCCATCAACTATTTAATTTTTACAGGTTTTATCTGTAGCATCAGTGGAGCCAAGTGACAAACATTTAGAGAGAAAATTGAAGTCTTGCTGAGTTGGCTGCCCAATTTTGCAATAATCCAGCCCATTTCTCTAAAGCTCGCCATTAAACTCGAATTTCTTCCTCACAGTTCTTAACAAGAGAGTAAAAAATTAATACCAACACAAGCATTATATAAAATTTTAGCTGGATATAATTTCATCCCTGTTGCCTGTTCATTCCCTGTGCAAATTTCACTTGACTGTTTTCCTTGTTACACAATGCTTCTTCCATGCTTAGCTCTCACACCTGATGGTCTACTTGAAGTATATCAGAACTACCTCACCTCCATTGAGTTTCAAAAGCCAGCTTGTTTCTCTATTTCTTTGTTTTACAATATAACCAAAGACATTTGGTTTTTACTCTTTCCTAATGAAGAATCTTCTTCTGTTTGCTCAGATCTGACATCCACTGCAAAATCAGTTGCAAGCATTTCTTGCAGCCGTGATAGTTCACAACTGTCCTTTCTGTTATACTGGTGTAAAATGCTTATGCAAAATTTAGTTAGATGATGTGGAATCTGAGCTATGAAAAAGTACAGATTTGAGGCCTGACCTTCATGGCAAAAAGGGAATCAGCAATAACATGTGTGTTTCACGTAACTAACTGTGTTGAACAGAAGGCTTTTCAGTTGTCTCATTACATGCAGCCAGGCAAGAAGAAAAGCAACATAAACGTGTCATCTTATTCCCATAAAAAATGTACCTATGGGGACAGTGACAAAAAGGTAGGCAAACATCTACCATCCACCCTATATGTGGACAGAAGTATCCAGGTGGAGGAAGAGCCTCACAGATACCCATGCATTAGTGTTTTCTTTGCACACATTTACAGCAAACACAGCAAACAGCCATTCTCTCTCTCTCTCCTTTCCATCTTTAATCTAGTTCGCCGTCCAAAACTAACACCATCTCTCCTTCCTACAAGAGTAAGAAAGTATATGTCTATAGAGAGAAACTGAAAGCTGAACTCTACCAGTGTACAGTGCAATAGCTCCCACGCAGATGTATTCAGGCTCAGAACTGATCTTCAGCTCCAAGCCTTGGAAATGCAGAATTTCAGATTCAAATTCCGAAAGTAATGGGTTTCCCATCATTAATTTACCAATGGTTTCCTCCTTGTCCCTCTGCCATATATGGTGGTAACAACTAAAACTCTCCAAAGCTGTGAGAACTTCCTGGAATACATAAGAAGTTCAGAGAAAGATTGTCTGTGTTATACATATAGAATACATAGAATATCTCAATATCTGCTGGTTAGAATACATTAAGAACTCCAAAATGGAGCAGGTTGTATCACGTCACTAAACAGAAGGCTGCTGGTAAATGTATGCTGAAGGTAGTTCCATCAGCAATCACAAGCCTTGCCAGGAACTATATGCTAACCATATTCAATTTGTCAAATCAGTTACAGTATTTTCCAATGAAGTGATTCTTCAGTCAATAAAATCCTAGAAATCAGTGGCAAGTAAAATGCTCCTTTTAAGACTAGGATACAGTACACTTGTGCTTCCCTACAACTTATTGGACTAGCAACTGAAACCCGAGCCAGGGCCCAACACAAAACAAACATCAGTAACTCAATTTGTTCTCGAACAATGAAGCTATGAGACAAATTTTTTTAATATGTATTGCATTGCTGATGTTAACATTAAATTCTACACTCAGTTCAGGTATGTGTGATTTGAATACCATTTAGGAGTGTGCAACAGAATTATTTTTTTGATTCTCAGGAGTCTGGGAAAATATCAGACAAAGTTAAATCATCATCACTTCAGCTAATTAAACAAGTAAATGAGCAGTGACTGCTACGAGAGACAACCCACATCATGACTTACGACAAACTTAGTGCTTGCAGGCATTTAAACCTGGCTAAATGATAAAAGTTTCCAATTACAAAATATTGAGTATCAAAATACCAAGATAACTATCCACCATTATCAGGAGGAACTAATACAGTTGCCCAAAGAAATGTCAACTCAACACCAGTTCACTGGAGAGTGCATAGAATAAGAAAATGGCAAAGAAATTATGCATATCCTTTAAGCTATCTCCTAACCACCAGTAGCAAATCCTGTGCAGCACTTCACAAATGCCAAGCTGACGGTTTTCTTCCAAAAACCTTCATAAGATCTCCATAACAGGCCAGAAGTCATACTGGCTTCATTAGAATTTCTATGTGAATCACAGAATCACAGAATTGTAGGGGTTGGAAGGGACCTCTGTGAGTCATCTAGTCCACCCCCCCTGCCAGAGCAGGGTCGCCTACAGCAGGCTGCACAGGAC